AATTCATCATAATTCTCGTGGACTTATGAAGGGATCCCATTGATCCCCCCTATCTTTGCCACTGGTTATAGACTAAGTTTTATGATACCTATTTACAGAACCTTAACTAAGTTAGGGCAGTCGGTGCAGTTCACCGGGACCCTCAGTTATATGGGGTGTCTAGAACCAAAAAGCTCTGGGCTCTGGGTTACAGATGACTGATTAAATAAAAAATATGACGAGGTCTTTGGCTGCAAAAGACCTCCAGGGCCAAGAAGCCTTACCAAAAAATGTATAATCAGTATTAGTAGTTAGTATATACTGGTTCAAGAAAAAAAATACTTATATCCCTAGCTGTGGGGAGCTTCTAAAAAATTACATGCAATAAAAAGAATTATAATTAAGTAAAGATATTTTATTATATTTTAAGGGAGCTACAGCCCCCGAAACAGGAGACCCTAATGATGGTTTTTATTTAATATCTCCAAAACCGTTCAAGATAAAAAAATTTTTTAAGAATTGACCAAACTTTAAGTTTCATTGCATAAACACAGAAAAAAAAGTACATAATATTAATGTATTTTAATATTGTGACAATGTATGCGCACATTAAAATAGAGCCGATGCACAAATACATTATTATAATGTAAATGTTACATTAATGCATGACGAATTACATTGAACAATGAAGAGTACATTGATATAATGTAACAGTATACATTGGTCAATGTATGTCATACATTTATAGTATGTACCTTATTCATTGATATAATGTACCCTGTACATTGATATAATGCACCCTGTACATTGATATAATGTACCCTGTACATTGATATAATGTACCCTGTACATTGATATAATGCACCCTGTACATTGATAATTATATCAATGTACATGGTACATTAGTACCATGTACATTGATATAATAACTATATATTGTTAAAATTGACTGTGCGTTCTACGAAAGATTGGAAGTCTTAGGAATGTGATGCAATCCTTAATTTCTATATGACGGCTAACTTTTAATTATAATTATAATGCTAGGGTTTTGCATATATTTGCAGCCGTTGCAGGCAAACGTATGCAATAAACCCTATCCCGATATCAATAAAGAGTTGGCCGTTATACAGAAATGAAGAATTGCATCACATTCCTAAGACCGCCAATCTTTTGTGGAACGCACTGTATAGGGTGTTTTTGGAGGAGGAAAAAGACACATTTTTATAAATATTAGATTTTTTATTAATTTTTTTAATACTAACTCTTTTAATAAATGAACTTTACCAAAAATTTTTGTCGTTTTAAATCACCATCAAAATAAAGATAAATTTCTTTAATGTTTACCTCATCATTTCCTATCCAAAAAATAAACGGCTGCATTGACTTGCTTTTTTTTTAATGATCAAGATGTTTCTCGAACTCCTCTAAAGTGGGTGAGAGGTACAGAAATGCGTCTTGTGAATCCTTTATCGTAAATTTAGTTGTCACGTTTTTTTCTGTGTTATCTTTTTTGACTATTTTGCCAGTTGGATTGCCATGGATTACCAGAAAAATTGTTGCATCTCGTGCATCTGAAACAATAGCAACATAATATTATTTCACAAGCATCTAAGTTAATTTCGATAAAAAGTGTGTATCCCAATTGTAAAAATAAAAAGTAATAATTAAAAATTATATTCTGTGTGTAGAGTTTGTATCTAATGGATAAGAAGTTGAGTTAAAATAAGGTTAGATTCACAGCTAATACTCCATTATAATAATAGTGACTAGCTGTGTTAGAGCCGTTTTTATTATGCTTATATTGTATAAAAATTGAATTTCTGTTATGTGTAGGAAACGCTAATTTTAGTTTTTTGTTTTTAGTGGTACCTACCAACCCAACCTCTAAAAACAATGGTTGTAGTCAATACTTGACAATAATTGTAATAGGTAGGTACCTACACAATGTGTAGTACACATATCAGCGACTCATTTAACGTTAAGTGTTATTTTCATATATTATACTTTTTTACATTAATAAGTAATATTTCTTACCCTTTTGTTTTCCATTTATCTGCTTTTTAGTTTCACAATAAGCACCTGATTCGACTCACAAACACAAAAGAATAATAATTTAAATTTTTTCTTAGGGTGTGGGCTCTGGAACAGAAGCAAATACGTCCTTGCACTGTAAAGCGGGAAGCTAAATAATTAATACTCTGTATACAGTATACGCCTATAGGCGTTTATAACTTTGCACATCAATACAATGTATTAATTTATTGAATAATGAACAATCTACCTTGATTAATATAATGTATTAAAAACATCAATTAATAAACCTGAAACATTGGTTAATGTATTTATACATTAATATAATGTACGTTTTTTTTAATGATTTGGCTAAAGTTAATGTATATATACTTTAGTTAAATGTATTTTTACATGAATTTAATGTATTAATACATTGATATTATGTAAAATTGTACATTATATTAATGTTTGCTATACATAATATCAATGTGTGTGGTCATGAGCTTATAAAATTTAAACATTCTATTAATGTATTTATACATTTTATTTATGTATAACTAAATTAATATAATAAAATATTGGTCAATGTTTGGCATACATTGATAATATGTAATTATTTTTTTCTGTGAAATATCACCAGTCTTAAATATTTTTTCCTAAACCGGCAGCGGTGCTCCATGGCCCAAGCTGAATATTTTTCTCTAGTTGTGATTTTATTCTGAATTTTTAAGCCATGTAAGGTAATATTCAAATTGATTTTAAGCAAAAATGGTAAATATTATCAAAGTTCAACAAGAGGACCTTTTTTGTGTAAACCTCCAAAATAAAATGATATTACTCAGCCGGGTCTTGTAAGTACAAAAAAGTTAGGGTAGGTAGTTTTACCCTTACTCCCTATCTATCGGACCCACAACTCAAGGAAAATTTGAAATTATTATTATCTTATTGACCATAAAAAGTTTGATCAATTCCCAAAATTTCACGTTTCTATCTTTAACGGTATTGTAGATATTAAATAAAAACCATCTTCAGGGGCTCCTCTTTCGGGGGCTGTAGCTCCCTTAAGAAGCATTTCTCGACCTATGTTTATAGGATTTTTTTCTTATTTTTGTACGTATAATCTTCTGTTAAAGTATTAAAACATATAAGTAAAGAAAATTAAATCAAAATCGAGTACATAAACCAAGCAAAGTTATTAACTTTTTACTTGCAACTCGAAACACAAATAACGTGGGAGGTTAAGCTGTACACTTGAAATATTAAAATTGATGTGCAGTTCGTATGTTTTAAATATATTGTTGACAAACCTTGTATTTCAATAATGCTATCGAGAGCCACCAGATTACTTTTTTATATATTTGTATGTAAATTACTATGTTATGGTTTAGTGTGTTTAGAGGGTCCAGAAAATTGCGCACTAACGCATACCACGCGATAGCCCCCCAAAAACAGTTGTTGGATGGAAACCGTTTACACAAGGTATCTTCTGACAGTTATTAATACATTTTAACTTTTTTTTTTAAATTTTACCCTTTAAATATAAATAATTTTTTAACTTATAACTCGAAATATACTTTTAAAAAAAACTGCTAAATTTTGTTAAATGTATTTGAAGACTACAGGGTAATAACGCAATAATACTTATACATAAAAACTTCATCGGAATATTTATTTAAATTGTATAAAAATTATTAGTAATAATAAAATTATTAATATTACTACTTATTATTATAATCTTTTTCTCGTGTGTTTCGTTTTCTTAAAATTTGTCTCGGAATTTATCAAACGTGACTTAGATATTTTTCCCTCTAGTATTCATTTGTTATGATAATATTTCAACTATTTAAATATTCTTAAGGGTGTCTGTTCGAAACAATCGAGTTACTCAGTCACAACTATATAAGAGTTTGTTTTATCCATACCTATGAGGTAGCAATAATTTAAGATAATAATGGAAAGCGAAAAATGAAAACTTCTGCTCGAGATTTAATTCCAAGCAAAAAATTCAAAATACATTTTTTTACGATCGGCCTTTATTTTGAAAATATCGAGGTTTAAACTTTTAAAAGACATACTTTTTAGTTTTACTAAAAACTATTAGTAGGCCTTGTGAAACTTTACTTAATCACTGTAACCAGACCCGTAGCCAGAAATTTGGTTTGGGGGGGCCCAAAACGTAGTAATAATTTTTTGGGTGCTAGGGGGGGCGGAAATGGTTGATGGATAAATACCAGTAAAGCGTGAAGTTGTCATGAAAAATATGGCTTGTAATCGATAGACATATTTTTAAAACATAATTCACATATTTAGGAAAATTTTAGGGTTCACCGAATTTCGGAGGGGGCCCGGGCCCGTCGGGCCCTACGGCTGGCTACGGGCCTGACTGTAACTGTCACACACAAAAAACATTACTTTAACTTACAGCTTGTTATTTGTTATGACTTACTATTAATTCCATATATGGACAAAAATTATAAGTCTATTTCCAAAACAAAGGCCAATCTGGAAAAACTATTTTGCATTTTTTGCTTGGAATTCAATATAAGAAACGGCATGTTATTTTTATTTTTATAATTAGATTCATAATTATACAAATGGTAATGTACAAATTTTGGATTTGCAATTTGCAAATTTTGCATTCACCGATCATGTTTGAGATTGCTCAGAATTTAATATTGCATGTATTATATTTTTTAAACATTTTAAGAATTTTATCTTTTTAATTTAATACAAAATAATACATAGTTCAATATTTAAAAGAAATTTGCTATCCTAAAAACCCATTATACAAACTTAAATATTCAGGATAAATAACGATTACTCCATGCGATAATCAAAGTCGACATACTAATTCGCTATAATTATCTTAATCATCAATTATCAGGTACTCTTACAACACTTAGATCTGACTGGTAGATGTTGCTGGTGGTATGTGCGCCCCTTTGGCAGGGCGGTGCAACTCTCGAGTCGCTCAGACTGCCGACCGCCAGTTATTCAACAACCGCTGAACGAGACTGATCTGCCTCTTCTCGCCCGGCTCTCACAATATCACGCGTGTTCTTTGTAAACCTGCTCGTTTCAGAGCTTTGCGTTTCACCTCGGCTACCGCTTCTTCTTCGGCTGCGACTTTTCTCTGGCTTCAGTGTTTCGTTTTCTCTGTGTTTCTTGTAGTTATTGCTTGTGATGCAACATTTCATTGATTGTGAGTGATTTATAAGTATGACAGCTTATTAAAATCCACGCAACAGGTGTACTTGTCATAATTGCAATCATGGGATTAATACTGACAAATATGTTGTTGGTACTTGTTATGTGTTTTATTACTTCAGTGTTGACAGTGAATGAAAACTTTCTAAAGATGTTCGAGAATCAGCAGACTCCCGTGGATCCGTGCTATAATGAGGATCGTCCTCGTCGCTGTATGCCGGATTTTGAAAACGCAGCCTTTGGAGTGCCTGTTAAGGCCTCGTCTACCTGTGGGTTGCATTCGCAAATGCAATATTGCGAAGCACCAGAACCTGGTGCGACTCCACAATGTCATATATGTGATGATAGACAACCAAAATATCGATTTCCCGCAAACCACCTAACTGATTTAAATAACCCTAATAATGTGACTTGTTGGAGATCTGAACCTTTACCACCCGTTACATCAATGAATGCTCCACCGGATAATGTTACTTTGGTTCTTACTTTGGGAAAAAAATATGAATTAACCTATGTCAGTCTACAATTTTGCCCCTATACTCCAAAACCTGATTCCATAGCCATATTTAAAAGTATGGATTACGGAAAGACTTGGCAGCCATTCCAGTTCTACTCGAGCCAATGCAGAAGAGTTTACGGTAGACCTAATAGAGCTACGATTACCAAAACTAATGAGCAAGAAGCTCGATGTACCGATGCTCATAGGTATACAGGTGGAGAAAACTTGGGTTTTGGGCAATCTTCCAGAATCGCTTTTAGTACTTTGGAAGGAAGGCCAAGTGCCTTAGACTTTGATACGTCAGCGGTTTTACAAGACTGGGTAACTGCCACAGACATAAAAGTAGTTTTTAATCGGCTACATATGCCAATAGAAGACGTTTCCGATAATTTAGACTCGATTCTCGTAGACGAGCATTTTCACAGCAAACATTTGGACGAAGATAATCAAACTCGAGAACCTTCCGTACAACTCGTAAACGAAATGGCTGTGGAGAATGACGAAAAAGGCAATCCGAAGGTATCGGTCGTAAATTCTGAGATGAGCACCAACGGCATCATGAATGCCTATCACCAAGTGACGCATCAATATGCAGTTGCGGACTTCGCTGTAGGTGGGCGATGCAAGTGCAATGGACATGCCAGCCATTGCGTCGCTGATCGCGACGGCAAACTAACTTGCGAATGTAAGCACAACACGGCGGGAAGAGACTGCGAAAGATGCAAACCGTTCCATTTCGACAGACCCTGGGGCAGAGCTACTGCCAAGGATGCCAACGAGTGCAAAGGTAAGATTTATAGGGGATTTAATTAAGGTATCTACATATAGACATGTTTTCTGTATCGACATAAACCAATATTTATCGAACCAGAACCAATAATTGAATTTATGACGGTATATCCAATTTATCAATAACAGACAGCTAGAATGACAAATTGAAACCCATTAAAGTAAAAAATATAAATAAAATAATAAATCGGATAATTATTTAAAATACAACCGATTAGTGTTAGAGTTAGAGCTATCATACAACAAAAACAATTTGGATTATATTCAGAAATCAACCCCTATTTTACTCATTATGATTTAAATTGGAAGCGGTACAAACAACTAATAAAAACCTTTATATAATATCAATTTTTTTAATACATTTTGAATGTAAGTTAAGTAGATTTAAATTTTGAATATACCTAGGTAAATTACGTTTTTGAAGGGGGGTCCAAAATAATAGTTACGCCACTGCAGGGCCGTGCCCAGGATGGAGGGGGTTAATCAAATTTCATAAAATATCTATTAATAGGTTATTTTTTAATAGTTTAAAGAAAAAAAATGTAGTTTAAAACCCCTCCTGGGGGTTGAATACCCAAAACCCCCCGTGCGCACGGGCCTGCGCCACTGAATTCCTACATAATTTATTACATTTTAACTTAATGCATACCTATCGGTTTTCCAAAAAGACATAAACCAAATTTATTGGAATAGCAACGAGTCATTAAAATTTACTTCTGGACAGATATTTATCAAAGAAACGAGTATTCAGTAACAAATTGTGACTTACAGATTTTATGATATTTTGCGATTGCAATATTTATTAAACTTGATACTAAAACATGTTTGTAACTATAGTTACAAATCTGTTTTTTTATATATAATTAACTTTACGGTAACAAATGCAAATGTTGCCATAACATATAATACCAGCAATAATTTAACAACACCAAACGCGTCCGTTCTTTGAAAATTGTAATAGGTAATAACTTCTGCCTACGTACTGAAAAAAACAATTTTAATCTGGTTTTATTTGACAGAAAATTTAATACACATACCAGATTTAGAACGAAATGAGTTCCTAAATGTATAGTTGACTTTTAAGGTATATATGTGTACATTTATTTAACTTAAAGCAGTTTAGATTTGGTTAGTCCAATTTACTAGTTAAAATTAAGGTTGTATAGTATGTATTTGTTTTTTAAATTGAACTTAACAGTATATACAAAAATCAAACTACATTTATGTATAATCACTTTTTCATTAAATTAGTGAATCGTTATTAATCTTAATTAACTGTTCCTTTTAGCAACCAAAAGGAGCTTTAAAAACGTTAACCATTATTTCTTTTTTTAAATACTCTTTATATTTCAAAATTTTATCAAATATTTTACATTTTAATATTGTAATCTTTTAAGTTAAAATATATAAATAGTTTGGTGTTATTATATTATATTATATTTTCTGTTATCATGCGCTAGAAATGTGTTGCTAGATGTATTCTATAGAAACTACATGCTGAATCGATTAAAATAAATTTTAGAACAATTCGAGCACTCGTTCGCAATACTTTTAAGGAATTTTCTATGTAAAGTTTACATTGTAAACATTGCTCTAGGATGGATTGCGTATGTGTTTTTGAGTCAGTTATAACCTATAGGTTTGTGCCGATTATTCCCATGAATTAAATGGACTACCTGTCAAGCCGCAGCTGTAGCATTTGCATTAATTAACACAATTATAATAAAAAATACCAATACTTATACCTGGTCAAAAAAATTAGAAAATTTATCTGGATTACTTTTGCTATTTCCCCATATTTTATGCATCTTTGAACACTTTATAAAACCATTAAATACACACAAAATTATCAAGATATTTATTAAACACACATATATATATATATATATATATATAGATATATATATATAATATATATAATATATATATTTATAATACATGCCATCTGAGTATGTTCCTTGAAAGCCGGGTTTACAATTGTCGCAGGGGTCCGATCGCAAAACATAAGCTTGCGCAAAGCACCCCGCGACGCGACGTGGCGATGGAGCAAGGCTCTTTTGTCAGCTGGGTGCTTTGCGCAAGCTTATGTTCTGCGACCTGCGACAATTGTAGACTCGCCTTAAGGGTCCCTTATTTCTCAGTTTACCGATCACTAAACTATCACCGATCAGTGGTGTTGCTAGGTGAACCTTTTTGGGTGGGCACAGGGTAGGCCAAACTTTTTTTGTGGGCACTTTACCTCATAAAAGATAAAATGTTAATAGGCAATGCTCAATTAAAAGGTCTTGCTCCACTGAGTACCTATCATAAAAAAATAGTCAAATTCTATTTATTCATTTTCGTTTCTTCTGAAAATAGAAAAGTACAGATAAGGAATTCATGGCAGAAAAACCTTGATAATAGTAGAAATTTTCATCAATCTAACCTAAACTGGGTGGGCAGTGCTGTTTTAATGGTGGGCAAGTGACCACCCAGGCCCACCCGTAGCCACGGCCCTGTCAACGATCTGGGGTTAAGTAAGTAAAATGTAATACATGATAAACTAGAACGTCTGTATAACTTTGTAAAATTTTGCTTTAAAATCACGTACAATTTCGATTTACATTGACGTTTCAGTGCTATTTAAAAATAGGACTCCATTGTGCTATTGTAGACCTTTAGCTTACCTTTCAGCTTTAATAAAAAATTGCCTATATATGAATGGATTTATGGAAGAAACCTTACTACCTTATTTATGAATAGTTAACAGGTATAAGCTTGAGCTTCCTTTGATTTTTGGCGTATTTAATGCCCATACACTCGCTTTATACTTACGTTTAGAATGACGGGATTTTAAAAGCTACTAATTTAAACAATTGTATTGGCGATTGTGGGTATAGATTTAAACATTTTTCTTGAATTTTATCGAAGGACATACATTTTAGGGATGCACTCGGGGGTGCCCTATCAATATGTTCGATTAAATATCGCATATGCAATATATAAATGTATATATTGGAGTAATAAAAACTCATTTTTTGCCAATATTGGGTATTCATTAATTAAAACTAATAGGTTAAGACTCACGGATATAATTATGGAGTACATATTTTCAATACACTGATAATGTAGTAAACTTGCTTATATGAAATGCATGCAAAAGTTTATAATTACTCTAGATGATAATCTTATCTTAGTAATTATTGCTGTATTAAAATGTGTTGAAATTGGTTACAAGAAAATATTTGTGAACTATAATTAAATTATTTTTTATTTAACACGCTAATATAAGAAAATGTACATGCAATACATTAATTTATTTAAATCAAAATATTTTTTTTTAATTTGAATTTGGCTTTGGTTTCATTTTGATTAGTTAGAATGAAATTACACCAGGCCTAGTATCCAGTAGCGTACCGTATAGGGGGCCAGGGGGGCGGTGCCCTTCTGCACAGACCGCATTTGGCGCCCTTATTAGTTGACAATTTTGTGTCTAATAAAAAATGCTGTTTTTAAGAAAGTTCGCCCCCTCCGCCCTTAGACCCACGGCACGCTAGTGCTAGTATCCTCTATATAGGATGATTAATAAACTAATATAGAATAAAATAGGTAAAAAATAATGTTTATGTAAGCGAATAACAAGCTAACAGCAAACGTAAGGAAGTTTTCTGAATATTAAAGGTAGTTTCAATTTTTAATATTGCATTTCCGGTAGGTAAAATTGTAATTCAGTAATATTTATAATATAATCAGGTAAATGTGGATTTTGCAAATGATATTATATACATAGTTTTTATTTTAATAAATGATGCAATTTTTTAACAAAAATAAATGTAAAACATCTTTACAAGCTTTTATTTATAAACTATTGAGCTTAATATTTAGTGCACTATACAAGTATAAAGATAAAAAGTAAAGCCAAAGAAAAAAAAATAAAATTTAAATTAAATTTGAATATTTTCTTAAAAGCTCAAACTTTGAAGATTCTAATTTAATTTTTTTGGTTCGTCTGTAGCTTTACTAGTTTACTTCATACATTAAATAATATTTTTATGCTTTTTAGTTCAATATTTTATAAATAAAAGCTCGTTTAAAAAAAATTGTTTTACGTTTATTTATTTTATCATTTTTAGCATTAGATTTTGTTTAATTATTTATCTTAATACCTTAACTTGTGCGTATTCGTTTGTTGAATATTAAATTATATTCACTTTGGCTATTTAAATGTTTATTAATATTTATTATCATATTTTATACCTACTAGAGCATCGTTGTTGTATGTTTTTTTCTATTTTCACTCTAAACTTTAGAGCAATCTAGTTCTTGAATCATAAGACCGTCTAATGATCTAACTCTAGGCTTTTCCACTTAAGTAATAGCTGGTAAATAAATAATTGTATACTTTTAATCCATTTGATTTAAAAGTAAATTTATTAATTTGAATATTTTAATATTTTGCAATGAGTATAATAGTAAAAACATTTCGAAAAGGGCGTTTAAGAGTTTCATTGAAAGGTAACATTAACAACTTAAAAAAAATATCAAACTTTGACTTTTCTAGAAACTTGGATATTTTTTTATAAAATCCACATTAGAACTTCTTAGTTTTCAAAATTTGAAGATATTTGGAATTTCTGTGAATATTTACTATTTTTATGATTAAAATGGAAATGTCCACAAAGCAAGCATAGTTTTATTAGTACCTACCAGAGCTGGGCACGAGTACTAAAAAAAGTATTCGTAAAATTTTTAGTACAATAACTTAAAATATTTACTTGTAAGTATTTTACTCGTAAGTACATTTGTAAAGAAACGTTAAGGTTACGAGTAGTAATCGTGAAAACACGAGTAAAGAGTACGAGTACCTACTTTTAAAAAAATTAAAATAAAAAATGTTAGTTAATACAATTGATTATTCTTTATACATTATACATACTTTGGTCCTGAGCTATAAAAATACAAATGGAAATTTATAATATTATTTAATTTATACATTAGCTACAGGGTGATCCCCTATAA